TTCTTCTTTTTTTTTTTTTTTGAGACAAGGCCTTGCTTTGTTACCCAGGCTGGAGTGCAGTAAGGGGCTAAAGTGCATTGGCACAGTCACGGCTCACTGCAGCCCTGACCTCCCAGGCTCAAGCAACCCTCCTGCATCAACCTTCCAAGTAGCTGGGAAATATATGTGTGTGCCACTATGACTGGGTAACTTTTGTATTTTTTGTAGAAACAAGGTTTTGCCATGTTGCCCAGGCTGCTCTTGAACTCCCGGGCTCAAGAAATCTGCTTGCCTTGACCTCACAAACTGCTGGAATTATAGGCATGAGCCAATGTGTTCAGCGTGCATTTTCAAGATTACTGTTATCATATATTTATTGGTCAATTGGTTTTATTGCTCTGTAAATTTCCATTTCATTCTCTGTCCATTTTTTGATTTATTATTTAATGTTGTAAAAACATAATGTAAAAAATACTAAAACAATGTATTTATACAATTAAAAATTCACAAAATGTAATATATTGTATAAAGAAAAGCCTCTCTTCCACCCCTGTCCCCAGCTAGCCAGTCCGTCTCTTTAGAGGCAACCATTTTTAGTTATTAGATTCCCATCCTTCCAGAAAGAGCTTATATGCATATTCAAGAAAATAAGTATTTTTTCCTACCTAAATGGTAGCATAGTACATGCATTGTTCTACATTATTTGTTTTTTAATTTCTTCACATAATAACATATCTTGGGCATACTTTCACTTGTAAATAAAGAAGTCCTTGATTCTTTTTTATTTTTATTCAGTTATAAAGGTGGGCTATAATTTATTTAAATATTTCCTTACTGATGTACATATAGATTGTTTTCTAATATTTTGCTAATGCAAACATTACCACGAAGTCCAAAGTAAATTTATGTGTGTGAGTATCTGTAGAATAAATTCCTAGAGGTGGAATTTCTAGGATAAAGGGGATAAGCATTTGTAATTTTGAAACATATCACAATATTGACCTCCATAGACATTCTACCTATTTACATTGGCCCAGAACCGTGAATCCTGAGGCAGGAGCAGCTTCTGTAGCTGGAATCCTGATGCAAAGAGGCTTCTGTAACATTGTGAGGCTGTCCAGTCTGACAAGTGAGCTGCCTCTAGCCTTCACTGGGCTCTGATAAGGTGTCTCATCCCATTAGTCTTCATATGTCCCTCCAGATCTGTGCGCCCACGGCTGGGTGGCTCCTTGTCTGCTTTCTTGTGTGTGATAGCTGTCTTGTGTATGAGAGCTCTGCATCACTTCCTCTTCTATGGCTAATTTTTATAAACTCTATGCCTCAGAGTTGACTTGGAAGTCCTTTGAAACTAACACAATACCAGCTCTCTCAAGACGCCAGCCCTTGCAAATTGGAGGCATTTGGTTTCAGACTACTGAGGCTACTAAAAGAGTTTAAGATATCCATTCAGGGGCTGGGTGCAGTGGCTCACACCTGTAATCCCAGCACTTTGGGAGGCTGAGGCGGGTGGGTCACCTGAGGTCAGGAGTTCAAGACCAGCCTGGCCAACGTGGTGAAACCTCGTCTATACTAAAAATGCAAAATATTAGCTGGGTGTGGTGGCAGGTGCCTGTAATCCCAGTTACCTGGGAGGCTGAGGCAGGAGAATTGCTTGAACCTGGGAGGCAGAAGTTGCAGTGAGCTGAGATTGCACCATTGCACTCCAGCCAGTGCAACACAAGCAAAACTCCGTCTCAAAAAATATATATCCATTCAGTCCAGTGGATGGATAACCCAGGATAACAATAATAATTTGAGAGAGTAAGGCCGGGCGCGGTGGCTCAAGCCTG